GCCTTATCTACTCCATTACTTAGCTTAAAAGTTGTGGGCTAGTGAGCTAAAAAGTGTCCAACATAAACATAAATACTCAACGATGGGATTGTATGAGGATGGCGCTTTATGTGAAATATTGTATTCTGACCCAATAACTCACTGGCAAAGTGTTCATCGCTAAACTTAAGTGGTCTGGGTCATGAGTGAACAGTGTTCAAGTCATCCATTCAGCACTCCCATTTTCCCAGTACCTCTCTAAATGACATAAGTCAGTGATGAATGCCAAATCGACATCAGTCAATGGGAATAAACCACTAAATTGAATCAATCGAAAGAAGTGACTGACCGAATTGACCAGTCTCTATTGGTATATAAGCCCCTGCGGTGGATTCCTCAACGTTGTCTGCATTTAAATTATATATTGCTGATGGATGTTGTCTAGCAGTGGAATCCAGGAAGCCAGTTTCATCCTATTTGGGACTTGTCAGCTGAATGTATCTACCTCCCAGTGAGAGGTGTTGTTCCGCGTTAATTCAGTCCACTGAGCGACAGAGCAATACAAGCAGGAACATCCGTCGCAAAAGAACTGGCTATCGTACCTCGGCAGTCTAGTGGATAGCGCTCTAGCATTTGAAGCGATCGGCTCTGGGCTCGAATCCTGGATGAAACAATATTACTCACTTGGGAGGCAGGTCCATCCAATTAATGAATCCCAAACTGGATGAAACGTACATCATGGAGTCGACTGCTAGACATTATCCATTAGTAGTATGTAGTTATAATGTTTTTTATACATATGATACAATTTTATTGAACAACTTTATGCAAACAAACAAATAACCAGAGAAATTTATGTTAGTTTCCCCCATACTCTTTGTTATGTTTATTGATGAAAAAATTGAATTCACCGGAAAGGAGTTTAACCGATGTTTCCAGATTTATTTATACTAATCATTTAAGGACAAATGAAATCATATTAGTAATATAAAACGTGATTAAGACATCACTTTCTTACATTTATGACTTTACTTCCCTTATTTATTGACATCTAAGAATGTTGAAATTTCCTACAAGAGTTGAACGATCCTAGTGAATTAGTGACATCCAAAACGAAAAATTCTAGCCAGTGACCTAAGATTTGTGTAAATCTGATTAATAAAATTGGATTGTACCCCAACTTTATCGACTTTGAGAAGGCCTTCGAAAGCGTCGACCGAGAAGTAATTTGGAAACTACTTCAATACTACGGAATACCGCAAACCTTTATCAGCCTCATTCAACAACTATATGAAGATGCCACATGCCAAGTAATTCACAATGGGAAGCTGAGTGATGCTTTTGAAGTGAAGACAGGAGTGAAACAAGGTTGCCTACTATCCCCCATGATATTCCTGATTGTGGTGGACTGGATCATGCAGCAAACAGTGGGCAGCGAGAAGAGCGGGATACAATAGCTGGACTGCGGAAAACAACCTAGAAGACTTGGATTTCACCAGTGATGACTTGTGTCTGATGTAACACAAGCTTGAAGATCTACAGGCGAAAACTAACAAGTTGGCAGAAGAAGAAGGAGTGAAGACGGGACTTCAGGTTAATATAGAGAAGACAGAGGTGATGAAGATACCGCACCACCACCACCACCACCAACAACAACAACAGCAAACCCCAGTCACCATCAACGGGAGAAACTTAAAGGAAGTAACCTCCTTCACCTATCTAAGCATGCAGCACTGTTTCAACTACAGGTGGCGGGACAGATGAGGATGTCAAAACCAGTCAGAATCGGAAAAGCAAGACAGGTGTTCATTAGCCTGAAACCGGTGTGCAGATCTTCTGCACTCAGCATACAGCGTGAACAAGATGCGAATTTTCAACACCAACCCAGTCAAGTCAGTGCTTCTGTATGGTTCAGAGACTTGACGCATTACGAAATGCATTTCCAACAAACTACAGACATTCATCAACAACTGCCTACACTGGCTACTGAAGATCAGATGGCCAGCATAATGAGAATAAGCAACGACCCTGGAACGAACCAACGAAGCAAGAACCTCTCACTCAACAAATATGCAGAATGGGGAAGTGGAGATGAATTGGGCATACAGTGAGCAAGCCGACTGGGGACATCACAGACCAGGCCAGTTGCTCGAGTGGAATCCCCATGGGAAGCGACGAGTTGGACATCCGAGGGTGATATGGAGGAGGTCGTGCGAGGAGGAAATGAGAGGTTGTGGGCTGTCGTGGAACCAGGTTGAAAGATCTCAGAGAACAGAGGTCACTGGAGACGTGCTAGTGAAGTCCTGTGTTCCATTAGGAACCCAAAGGACTAACAATAATAAAAATAATAAGTAGACCTTCAGTATTATCTATACTTATGCTTTAAATCAACAACTGTAGCTGCTGTATACCGATTACGAAATGGATATATAAGATTTTAAGCATTTAACCATTGTCATAATAATAGTTAAACGTAATCGAAATGAAGAAAATTATTCTCAATCACTTCTCATCAGAATTTGATTGGTTGTGGCTAGCAAAGGAATCCAAGATGCTGGTCTCCTTCTATTTGGGACTCATCAGCTGAATGTACCTACAAACTAAAGTGAATGATATTGTCCCCACTAAGACTAGAACCTCGTACCCATCGCTTAAAAACGCCAAGGCGTTATCCATTATGCCAGGGAAGAAAGCTATTTCTTGTAGAGGTCAAACAATTCGATCCAGTAAAATAACGGAGAGTTATAAGTATATCAATAAATAGTCATTCTTATCAGAGTCTATAATTATTAAATACAACTTTACAATGTAGAAACAAGCCAAGTTTGAGGTGGATACATTTTCAAAAGGAGATAAGAGTTAGAAACTGTAAGGAAATGAATTTTCCCTTTTAGATTTATCAATATTGAAGTGATACACATATAATGATGAAGAATATTAAAAAACAAACTGAAATAAAAGTACCCTTTAGTTTGTTAAAGATCAGAGAAGGAATAACAAACCCTACGATATATATTACTTCTGAATGCAACGTTCACTTTGATCATTCTTATTACAACATCCTTAACTATATTGAATAGGCGTTGACAACCTAGACGTGATATTGTTTTATATACATGATGTATGATATTTATTTGATGCCCCATATTTACTAGGATTAGAACTTTCCACCACTTTCACTTTACTTTTCCCAAACCAAGGGAATGAACGGTCTAGTATCCAGAGACACAGCGCTTAGTCTAACTTGTTCCAGAGGAGCAAATAACTTGATGCTTGCCAGAAGAAGAGCTAAGATTAGATAGGACATTGCTTATTCTTGGATTCAGGTAGACCTTCAATACTATCGAAACCTATACTTTAAAGCATTGTGGAAACTGTATTCTTTGTAATGATGGAGAATTTTTGTATCTTAGTTATATGATTTTGATGGTATTGTATTCACCAAGCTGGGTGATTTCGTCGTGAAACTTCAATTACCATTCTAGACAATTTCATCAAAACAAACCTCTGAAGTTTGTATCTGCTTCACTCACTGGGATATAGGTAACTTTATCTGATGTTTTCTGTATTGGACGAAATACACTTCATGGACTCTGCGGCTAGCCACCATCCATCATCAATAATACTTTGTTGCAAACAGAGACTTATGTATCGGAATGTGGGAAATCTAAAGATTTATCTTTAAGTGGAAATGGAGTGAGAACAACGTCATGTATCGTCGAACTGATGGAGTTGTGATGAGCAGTCCCTCGCGTCCCATATTGGCATAATATCTCTATGAGGAACCTTGAACGTACGAGTATGAAGTATGTTATCCAACTCACAATAGGATTTGAAAAAGATGATAAATCTCACTTTCTTGAGATCCGAATCCAACGAACTAATTATGGTAACATACTTCAACGTATCCATAGTAAAGATTCTTGGAGTGGAGTGTATTTCAACTTCGTCAACTTTTGTCCTATTAAATTTTGAGGGAGTTGTGGGGATTTGGAAATATTTCAAGCTGTTATTCATCGTAGACTGATATCAGTTAGAGGAAAAAAAGGAAACTTGGGAGCACTGGACATCTGTCTTGTCCTAGTATGGGACTCTTCAGCAGTGCGCACCCACGACCCGCCAGGGCTCGAACCCGCGACCTTCAGGTTCCATGGCCATCACGTCACCCCTTGGTCAAAATCCAATGGTCCATATTTCCAAATTCTGTTAGCTCCTATTATTTATGAGAAAGGGCTGATGAAAACGCTGTTCAACCGCGTAAGAAGTCTTTTTTCGTAAACGACACTGGAAGAGGAAATGAATATTGTGGAAAAATGCCACCTTGAAAACTCATATCCATAGAAATTAATCAATATGCACAAGAATGCGCCCACTAAAACCATAGGATATGATACAGTTGTGAAGAAGCTTGTTTCTCGAAATTTTAGTTTTAAAAGTGATGATGTCTTCAGTAGAATTAATTACAGAGTAAATACTGCCTTAATAAATGATTTATTCAGCTGTTAGGCTAATCATATTGTACCGAACAAATTTCTCACTGAGACAATCGAAGGTTGACAAATCCTCTTTTCATGTTACCTCCAAATGCATCTACCAGTTTACATGTATATGCTAGAGAAAAAAACATTGGACGAAAAGAAAGAAAGGTTTGTAACTATATTTCTGAACATATTCCAAGGAATTTGAGACAGAGAGGTTGTAAAATCTTCAATACTCAGGAATCGTACAATATAACTAATAGACAGGCAACCTGCTAAAGCGTTAACCATTAAACGATTAAGATCAGCAAGAAACAGTTATCAGTTTGTGCTTATTATAATGAAGAGTTTTGTTTTGTTGACGTGTTACTGAAGCTCTATGTTCCATTAGGAATCGAAGGGATAGATAATAAATAAAAAAAATCAATAATAGGTTGTAGACACAGCTAGATTAGTATTGTTAATCAGACAAGGGACTAGAAAATTAACTTCTCAAATATATATATATATATATATATATATATATATATATATATATATATATATATTTTGAAAAAACGTATTAGCTAAATGTAATAAGCACTGGAAAAAATAGTTTTCTAAGTAAAATATATTGATTTTAATAGTCTTTTTTCACAGTATATAGTTACTATATCATCAGTTTCTTTTTATGAAGACAATAAAACACAGTTAACATAGCATATTTCAATATAATAGACAACATTTAATATAGTAATCATAAGATAAGAAAACCGCTTTCATACTCTTTGATTGATATAAGTAACAAGATTATCTTTTCATTTGACTGATAGTCAACATTTCCTGATGAATTAGGTGTAGACACTTCTCCTGTTAATCGTTTCATTGAACCTGAATGTCGTAAGTTAGAATATTTAGAAAAATGATGAGTTGGAGATTCTGGTGTTGATGTAGCATCATTATGATTCACTTTGTTACTGTGTATTACATTGTCAACAATTGTGGGAAAAATTAATTTTGGTGGCTCAGATTCAACCAAATCTTTCATAACTGAATTTCTATGACTTTCCAGTTTGAAACGTTTAGCTTTTTGCCTTTCTAAATTCCTTTTCTTGATTTTTTTTCTATCTCTGTTGAAAAGAGAGAAAAGTTATTGGGAAAAAAAATAGTTTTTTAAAGGTTCCTGGTTCGATACCTGACTGAATCTTGATTCTTATGAATCAAAATGGTTAAAGTTTTATGAATTTTCGTTTCACTTCATTACATTCTATGATGCACCGAGTATCGTAAAGTATTAGAGCTTCTCTGTTTTTTCACCCTTCGACAAAATTCACTACATAGGCATACTTACTAGTGGCGAGCACTTAAATTTCTTGACCTGAGGGCGACATTTGACTTTGTCAACCAAGAGGTGTTACTGCCCTATGTAAGCGTGACGGCTCATCGAGCAAGTATATTACGCTGATCAAAGCTCTCTACTCGAACTAACACAATCGTGGAGCTGTGGCTCATTGGTTCAGGGAGATGACTTTCAGTGGGTCACGGGTTAAAGCCCGTTCTCACTTACTGAGGTTTGGGCAACCAGCTAGTATCGTAATCCCTAACACAATAGGTGTGGCTCATCGCATACTGTACAGATATGCACAAGGTTGGTGAGTGTAATTCAAATTTCAGTTTATGGTGAGTCGTCGTCAAATTGCCGACAACTAGTGGTGACCACTAGGGATGTCAGTTACCACCGTTCCTGTTTAATTTTGTTATAGTTTTATCAATGAATACCTAAGGTATGTCTGAGTTTACAGGGATTGATTTACTCCCTAGAGGGCATGCATTTGGTTGACTTAGAGTACATAGACAAAATTGTCTCGGTAGATGAAGATGCTGACAATATGTAGGATCTTTTGAAGGGTTAGACCATAAACCGAGTGTGTTTGGTTGGGATGCATTTCTCACGTGTGAAATGTAAGATGATGCTTGAGTATTGGTTTGGGTGTACTCCCAGTTTAGTGATAGGAAAGTGAAGTGACCGAATAGTCAACCAGTACATGAAGTCATTGACTCTTATTGTGAGCTGTGTATGGAAGTGTAGACTACCTGGTTGTGTCCTTGAGACCATAGGAGTAGATGGTTTGATACTTTTGGTGATGTGTTTGAAAATTGGTGATAATGGCGTAGATGTATTCACCTTTTGATGTCTTCTGAAGCTTGAATAGTTTCATTAGCCTTCATTTTCAAATAATTTCTCTTGCCTGCTATGCATCTTTGTGTACTTTGATATCAGTCTTTTTCTGCTTTCTTATTTTGTTGCATGCTAATGTGAAGTGCGCTAGCTTGAGCCGATTCACTTCTGTGCAAGGTGATGCGTTGATTTTATCTGTCACACGAATTCAACTCTCCTGATATTTGTAAATATTTGGTTGTAATTGCTTATTTATAGTAAACGATTAAATTTTTGTAAATTCAGGTTATCAAGAGCTCAATAAAAACTGACGGAACAAAACACTGCCATGCTTTTCTGTTCAGACTACTGTTCTTGTTATATTTCTCGACTTAAAAGCGTTATTCAACTCTCCTGGTCCTGAGTTATTGCATCATCTGTAGTGCTGACTGGAGAGATATCAGACTGACTACTTAGTAAAGTATGGATATTATACGCTGTAGTTTGTTTTGACCTATCATATGAGAGTGAGACATATCCGCCAGAAGTTGTCTTCATAGCATCGTTCATGTATGATGTAGTCATCATGTAAGCATTATTCAGGATAAACGTAAGAGACTAGGCAAGGAAAGAAAGTCGATCAATGAGCTTATGAACCTTCAACAACTATGCACGCCAAGTCACCACACACTTTGACCTTTGGTACTAGGCGAGGTTAAATAAGGTTAGAAGAAGGCTTAAAACGGGACCAAATTAAGACTCGGCACCAGAGCATGAAGTCCCTGACTGTTGGTCTGAGCTATGTAGTGATGTGTAGAATACCTGGTTGGGGTTCCTCAGGCAGCAAGAGTCAGTGGTTAAGGATTAACTTTTGATGAAATCGCTGAAAGTTGGTGACACTAGTACAGATATATTCACTCTATGATTTCTGCTAAAGGAAACGGCTGTTGAGTAGTTCATCTCAGGTAATATAATATCATAGATAAGACACGATCAATTAGAATGCAAAGTTTTCGAATTGTTACCTTTTGAAACACTAGCGACATAGCATGCACATCCTTAAAAAAATTATTTTGTCTTCCAAATATGTCACAAGAACCTTACTTGGAGTGAAGTAAGCGTTGAAAACACTCTTGTATTGTATTTCAGAACATATTTATCTGAGAGTGATTTTATGATTTCGAAAAGTGCTATATATACTATGGCCGCTAACGGTGTATGGATATCTGGTATCAATCATCAACGTTCAAAAACTGCATTGTTGATTCCGAAATATACTGATCAGTGCAGAAGACGCAATGAACGTATATTAACGTGTATTAAGCTCGAAAGACAGAAGACCATAAACAAAGGAAAATATATCTTATATATAAAAAGTTCTTGATTGTATTATGTTCTCTGAGCTAGGTTGCTTAATCGTAAAGCTTTCATCATCTGTCTAGACAGCGACATCATCAGCACTAACTTCACTATGAATCAGCTGTAAATATCTCTCCGTGAGTGATTTAGTGGCTTGCTCTGACGATGTGGTTTGTGACTGGTTGTTTTTTTTGATTGTTGTGTCATTGACTGACTGTACATAGACTTCCCTGTTAGTTGTTCTTCTGCTTCACCTCTCACCTTTCTGTCGTTCATCATTCTTCTTATTGGTTGAGTGATTGGGTCTATGTCCATGTATCTATTAATTCCTGATTGACTGACTGACGTGAATGCCAAGCTTCTAGGAATTCACTGATATTCTTTGTATTTCCTCTCTCTCTCTCTCTCTCTCCAAAATTTCTACATTGTCGAAACTGAATTCATCTCCATAATGGTTATCCACGTTCACTGAAATGAGTGGTGAAATGTCATGACGTTTAGTAGACAATTGGTGCTCATATAGATGGAGGTGAAGAGGGCGACCACTTTGTCCAATATAGTGTTGACTACAGTTATTGCAGTTGATTTTGTAAATGATATTCGGTTTGTCTTCTTTGCTTGTTGCATCCTTTGATCAGTCTGTATGATAGAGTTTGGAGGGAATTTGTTGGTTGATGAGTGACCACACGAATTCGAAGTGGTTTCAGTAATCTTGTTGTGATTTCTGATATACTCTTTATGTACGGTGGGATGATGCGTTTATTGATTTCTGTCGATGACTATGTAGTTGATGATGTACGGGATAGGCATCTTCTGATAAAGTTTTGTGGGTAGCCAGCCGTTCTTCTTTAGGGTGGACATCAAATAATTTTCTTTGTTGCTCCGCGCAGTTTTTGTGCTGCAATGTGTTCTCGCTCTTTTGATTAGGGTCTGCATGCATTTGATCTTGTGGGTTGTTGCTATTGTAGTTGAGGATTTGGTCAGTGTGTGTTGGCTTCCTATATACTTCGGTTTCCAGCTTCCTCGTATTTGTTCTATAGACCAGAACATCCAGGAATGGTAGTTGGTTGTTTGACTCCTTCTCTATTGTGAATTTGATGTCATTGAAAACGTTGCTGATCAAATTGTGGGTGTCTTCTATATCATCTTTTTTAATGATGATAAAAGTGTTGTATACATAGCGAATCCAAATTTTCGGTTTGATCACACGTAGAATAATGGTTTCTACTCTCTGCATCACTGTTTCTGCAATTAGTCTGGATATCGGTGATCCCAATGGAGTTTCTTTCATCTGTCTGTATATCTTGCCGCTGAATTGGAAGTATATTGTCAAGCAAATATGGATGAGTTTCATCACACTTGAACATTTGAGTTTTCTGAATTCTGTAAGGCTTGTGTCTTCAGTGAGCAGAAGGGACACATTTTCCTTGGCCAATTGGGGTTCGATGGATGCGTATAGTGCTGTGATATCGAAGGATACCATTAATTCGTCGTTTTCTATGTTAGTGTTTGTGATCTTTTCTAAGAATTCCGTTGGTGACTTGATGGAATGTCCGCATGATTGGACGAGGTGTTTCAGTTTTCTCGAAAGTTCTCTTGATATGTTGTATGTTGGAGTTCCAGGAAGTGAGACTATCGGTTGTAGAGGGATATCGGGTTTGTGTAATTTTTGTCTGCCGTAGAACCGAGGAAGGGCAGGTCCATTCGATTTCATACGTCATTTGTCTTGCTTTGTTATTTCTTTTGCTTTGAAGAGTTTATTCAGGGTTTCATTGATCCTGTTGTCGAACTTTAGGATAGGGTTGGTTTCGAGTGATTGATATACATTTTCGTCTTTGAGTAATTTATCTGCTTTCCTGATATAGTCTTCTTTGTCCATGACTACCGTAGTGCATCCTTCGTCTGTTGGAAGTATAACGATATCTTTCCTATTTTTCAGTCTTCCTAATGTTTTCTGTTCTTGAGTGTTCATTTCAGCATGATATCTCTTCTGCCTTTGTTAGTGGTACTATTGTTTGCCGTATTTCTTGTTGAGTGACCTCACTTAATCCTGATGTTTTAAGCGATGATTCTGATGCCAATAAGAAAAATGACAAACGACAGAAAGGTGAGAGGTGAAGCAGAAGAACAACTAACAGGAAGTCTATATACAGTCAGTCAATGACACAACAATCAAAAGAAACAACCAATCACAAACCACATCGTCAGAGCAAGCCACTAAATCACTCATGAAGAGATATTTACAGCTGACTTCATAGTGAGGTTAGTGCTGATGATGTCGCTGTCTAGACAGTGATGAAAGCTTTATGATTAAACAACCCAGCTTACAGAACAACATATCACCAAGACCATCCACCTGAGCTACAACTATTCTCCAATATAGATAGTGTACTGTTTAAAATAGCAAAATTGAATGACTGATCCACCGTCTGTCTGTCTAACTGTAAACGTGGTGACATAAACCACATTTTGACTGGTATCTCTCTAGACTAGTCATTTCTCTCTATCCCCAGATCATTGTCTGTTGGAAAGTACGTGATTTGGGGTTAGACTGGACCACATTATCTTTTTCTTGCATCTATCTGACCGACGCAGAGACAGTTTCTCTTTGTT